GTCTGTTTCTTCAGACTAGTTTTTTTTTTTTTTTTTTGCGCAACGAAGGGGAGTTGGTAGGGTATGATTAGGTAAGACACTTTTTCAGTGACTTTGAAAGCAAACAACAAAGGTCCGTGAGTGAGGTTTTCGGTTTTCTTCCCTCTTTTTGTTTTATTCTCCATTGGGTAATTTCTTTTTTATTCAGGGCGCTTTGAAATAAACAGCGTCCAAGGGATGGCGATTCATTTCGGCTGTTATGAGGTAATGATTTGTTTGTAACCTCTAACTCTTAATCATGGAAAACTTGCTGTACAGCTGCATACAGCTTGTTTATGAAACGAAACGGCTCATAACAGTCTTGTAACGTACTTAAAACATGAAAAGAGGCAGGACACCAGAAAAGAATGAGATCGCGTTTTAATCAAATACTTTCCTATACTTTAGCGGGGAGTTCCAGACATGAAGGCAAGAATCGTCTTCCGTATCTCAGTTGTGGCTCTCCTGGTCTACAGCGCAATAACTAAAAAATGTCCTGCAAGTGGAAGAACCGAGAGCTCCTTCTTTGGCTGGATGTTGCGAGGACACGTATACGACACTCTTCTAGCGGAACTTCCCTTTACATGCGTATTCAAGTGTCGCGAAGACAATCGATACCAAAGTTTTAACTGGGTAATCTCTCTTCTCACCTGCGAATTTAACAACAGGACAAAGGAAGCCAGGCCAGAGGACTTCATTCCAAACCCAGAGAGATCTTACTATCCACGCGATTTAAAGCGAGGTGAGCCAGTATACCAAGGAGGGGGGACTCCCTATAATGGCCTAGTACGGGGGGGGGGGGTCCGACTGGAAGGGGACTAATTAAAATTTTGCTTGAACTTCGCTTGAACAGTTAAGCTCAAATCTGTCTTTTAGAGTAAATTGAAGACCGATGCTCAGATGTCAATAAAAACAAAGGTGGAAGTTCCACGGGAAAGGCTTTTTAGTAACAAATTCATCTGGGAACTTTTAAAGTCCTCGTGGCGGGTACGTCAACAATGACGTTATCATGGAAACCGAGTTTTGACAGCCGTGTTTTCAAAATTAGCATTTTCTCTTAAAACTGAGGTTTTATTTCTATTGTTACTAATCGTATCTTTATAGTTATCACTTACTTTAGCATTATTTACATATTATAAGTCACATTTATTGACAGCATGGACGCACGTGGTGCCAAAAATAAGATGTGCTACGGCAGCAGGCCGTGCCAGAGCAGAACCTTCTTTACCCGCGTTCAATGAAACTCTTTGCGAAATGATAGCTGCGCAGAGTTATATATTATTCAGGCTTAAACAATGCCTAATACGTCATCGCACGGGATAATGAACACAAGCACATTTTTAATGCATGCACAGTAATTTGAATACATCTTATATCCGCCACATAACAACATCATTTTAAGCGTAACATAATTCCATCAGCAATTGGAATCATACATGCATTGGAATCCAGATAAACCGAATACCTGGGGTCTGCCTGGAGAAATGTGTTCGTAAGTAATAGGGGTTCGTTATCCTAAACATATCACTGTAAGTACGGCGAGGAATGCACTCGGCCTCGTTATACCGCGGTATTCCTTTTATAAGGGGTATGTCACTCGTTTCTTGCTCCGGGCTGTGACGTGGCGGGTGTGCCCTTACCTTTGCTGGGATAAATCTTCTTGTGTATCTGGATTTTCCTAGCTTTATATGTTTAAATGAATTTGTGGCCAAATTTATCCCAAACTGGAATTGTCATTACTGGGTATCCCAGCAAACAGAGCTCACCCAAAGCGAGACTCCACCAACAGCAATAACCGACTCAACAATACTATCTTAAGGAACATGGAGCATAAAGGAAATTTATTTCTGAAAGAAATAAATGGTTTTATGCTTAATGTGACTGATTAATGTGTCATTTCTCCAGCTACCTGGAAGGGGGCGTTCCTGCTACCCGGGAAATTATATATGTGTCTTTATGACACGAAAGCGAAGCACAAGGCCTCTCTGCTCACTGCAACAAGAAAGTTGGAAAACATTTTCCCCTCCCTTCCCTCCCGTTTGGCTCCACTTTTATCTCCCGAATGGCGGATGTGCCCTCACCTTTGCTGGGATAAATCTTCTTGTGTATCTGCATTTTCCTAGCTTGATATGTTTCAATGAAATAAACAGCCACTCTTGTGGCCAAATTTATCCCAAACTGGAATTGTCATTAATGGGTATCCCAGCAAACAGAGCTCACCCAAAGCGAGACTCCACCAACAGCAATAACCGACTCAATAATACTATCTAAAGGAACATGGAGCATAAATCACTGTAAGTACGGCGCGAGAAATGCACTCGGCCTCGTTATACCGCGGTATTAATTTTATTAGGGGTTTGACAAGATCTGTTTCACCACGAGGAATAAATAAACAGCAACTGGAAATTGTTTAAAAGGAAACAAAAAGGAAAAACAAAAAAATTAGACGCATCTTTTATCCATACATGTATTTCTTTCGACC